AGGGTGATGCCGTGCACATCTCTTTATTCTAATTGCTTTGGTGAGGAAAGAGATTAAAAGCACGAAGGGTGATGCCGTGCACTTGTCTTTGATTTTCCTGATTTTTGCTGATAATTGAGTTATGTTGTCCTTTACTTGTATTTACGGATTTTCGTGTTGTTATCGTTTCAAGTGCATTAATTGTCTTATTCCACTATTACTGTCATTCTTTATGTTGGCATTTTCCTTTGTTGTGTTACTTGTTATTATTGGCTCGAGGTATCCATGCGCAACATTATGCCTTGAATTTATGCTATAATTACTACATATTTATGTGACTTAATTGCTACTTGACATTTAGCATACTAAATATTAAATTGCCTATTTGCTCCTTAAAGTCCATAATTAGTTGCTACTTGTCATTACTTGTTTTCCTCAGCGAGTCATAATTATTGTGTACTTGTTGTCTTATGAATTCGTATTATTTGTTGCGTTTGTTGGAGTAAATTTCATTTGGAAGAACTGTTGATTTAATGAAATGGGTGCGGGTGGTACGCCTACCACGAGATCTAATGAAATGGGAGCGGGTGGTACGCCTACCACGAGATTTAATGAAATGGGAGCGGGTGGTACGCCTACCACGAGATTTAATGAAATGGGAGCGGGTGGTGCGCCTACCACGAAATTTAATGAAATGGGAGCGGGTGGTACGCCTACCACGAGATATAATAAAATGGGATCGGGTTGCACGCCTGCAACAAGATGTGAAAAGAAAGTGAAATCTGCCTTTGTTTTCCTTATTCTTGCTAGTAGTTGGATTTTGGTTCCTATATGGTTCTCTTGATATTCTGCTTTACTTGTTATTCTCCGAAGCATGTTTCCCCCTCCCATCCTTACTTGCTTACCTGCTTTACTTTTCGGTGTACATTATGTAACTGCACAGGTTGATGTAGTAGTCCTGTCTAGCCTCGTCACTACTTCGCCGAGATTAGGCTAGGCACTTACCAGCACATGGGGTCGGTTGTGCTGATACTACACTCTGTGCTCTTTTGCACAGATCCAGGTACCAAACAACAGTAGTAGCTCAGGAACCAGCCTTCAGTCCTCCGAGACACCGAGGTAGCCTTGCAGGCATCCGCAGGCCCGGTGTCTCCTCTATCTTTATTTATGTTCTGTTATCTCTTGTATTCGAGACAGAAAATGTTACTCTCTTTCAAACGGTTGTATGTAGTAAATCTTAGTAGTCCGTGAATGTTGTGACACCAGTTCTGGGTAGAGGCATATGTGGATCTTCCTTATTATCTTGGTTTATTTCGTTTAAGTATTCCGCTAAATTACGAATTCCGCTGTTGTTTAATTATTTATTTCCTGCTAATTTAATTGGTAAAAATGGATCTAAAACAAAAGTACTTATGGATTCTAAGAGTGTGGCTTGCCTAGCTTCTACGAGTAGGCGCCATCACGACCCCCGAGGGTGGGAAATCCGGGTCGTGACAAGGAGAGAGACACAAAAAATTACAAATGGCTATGGAAAATCAAAACCCTCAGCCAAAAAAAATTCTTCCTTTGGACGTCTATCCATAATAGACTCCCCACATCACAAATGCTTTTTAACAGGAATATTGGCAACTCTCCAACCTGTAACATCTGTAGCACTACAAATGAAAATATAATACATATGTTCTTTAGGTGTAAGTACTCAAAAACCATCTGGGATCAAACTGGCTTCAAGCTTCTTCCTCCAGATTCGTCAGATCAATTCACTATGCATAACTGGTTAAAAGCACAAAGCAACTCGAACACTAGGTTCAATGAATATCTCGACTATTCTGATGTTCTCCCCTTTATCCTCTTGCACATTTGGCTGCATAGAAATGAGACGATATTCAACAATAGTAGTAAGCCTCTACTTCTAAAAAATATAGTTAACAAAGCCATGGAATACAAACTCTTGGCCACAAACCAAAAAAGACCCCTATAATTAGAAACACCATACTCATTAAATGGAAACCGCTAGAACGAACACCTATAAACTCAACGTGGATGGCTCATGTTTGGGAAATCCAGGCAAATACGACATAGGAGGGATTATCACAAAGGGCAATGGAGAATGGGTTTTGGGGTTTAACATGAGTTTTTCACATGCATCTAGTATATACATGGAAACACTAGCACTACTGCATGGTCTGAAGTTAACCATAGAGAATAACTACCTCCCCCTCACCATTGACATGGATTGTAAGGAACTCATTAATTTAATTGATAATAAGAACCGTTCCTATAATTTAATTGATGATTGCAGATGCCTATTGAGTAGAGCAGGGGATCCGCCACTACAGCATGTCTACAGAGAGGCTGATCAGGCGGCTGACTCAATGGCGAAGAATGGAAGCAACTTACCAGTCCTTGGAAGCTTAATGATTTATCTAATTCCTCCTACTTTTGTTATTTCTATTTTGGAAAGGGACAAGCTAGGAACTATGTGTCCTAAAACAATTCCTATATGTAATGAATTATGTAATAACTCTTAGTATGTGTTTTTAATATATATATATATATATGTCTTCATTACCAAAAAAACAATCAATATTCTCAAATGAGTGGCTTTTTATACTCTAAACTAGTATTAGTACCCGCGCGGATGCGCGGACACTAATCATGTCAAATATTTAAGTTATTTGGATTGTATGTAAATAATCTTAAAATTTACACTTTCTGAGTAAATATAGATAATCATTGGATATTAGCTACATGAAAAAAATTAACCATTTCTTCTATTTTTCTTTTTTGATACCATTCTTGTCGGTGTCATTGGATCCTAAAATAAGTCAGGAAGCATAATAACTCATATTTATGGCAAAACAATAAAATGTTGAGACAATGAATGACTCTTTGGATAAAACTTAACTCTTTTACTACTACTTGAACTCTTATGTTGATATCTCTTAAAAAATATTTCTTTCTTAAAATTTCAGTTTCCAAAATATTATTTTTATAATAATGCAATTGAAAATATTCTTAATTCAAAACTCATTTTAGTTGGCTATCTAATATAAAAAATTCTTTAGCTAGTGAATTTTTTTACTCCATTTTGATATTTGACATTAACCATGTTAAATATCCGAGTTATTTGAATTATATGTAAATAACCTTAACACTAAACCTTCTAAATAATTATAGATAATCGTCAGATATTAATTAAGAAACACTACGTGAAAAAAGACTAACATTTTCTCAATTCTCGTAGTGATAACTTTATTTTTGCACTATTCTAATAGGTGTCATTGGAACTAAAAATAGCAACAAAGTGAAATAATAACTCATATTTATGGCAAAGCACAAAGGTTGACACGATATAAACGATTCTTTGATTACGACGTGACTCTTATACTACGACTTGAACTCTTATTTGGTATGATTTTATCTTTCAAAAAATATTTCTATTTTGAAAATTCAATTTCTAAAACTTTATATATATTATAATAATGATTATCTTTATAATGATGCAAGTGAAGATATTATCCTTAATTTAAAATTCACTTTAATCGGCTATCTAAAAATTTAAATGATTCTTTGGCCGGATTTATTTCAGTATGACTCCACTTTAAGTTTATCGATAT